CATGGGACCTTATTTCGGAAAAATAATGTATTGAAGTCAATGGAGAGAGAAAACTTATCTTTCGATCCCGTTTGAATTGTGCCATGAATTACACATATGATGTTTGTCAATCTTAAAAAATCATTTCCATGTCAAAAAAGTCACAGTTTGTCGTAAAACTGTTGAAATATAAGACTATGAAAAATACGTAACTAGAAAGACTACAAATCCCAGAGTCGCGTAAGTGATGTCACAATTGTTTTGATCAGCGCCATATAGATATAATCTATCTATATGGCGCTGGCTAAGATAAGATAACTTTAACAAGATGCCTGTGTGCTTAGTACCAGGTTGTTATTATACCAGCAATGGGTCTTGCTCGTTATTTTGCTTCGAAGTCCCTCCCCTTCCGGTGGACCTCCATGGGACCTTATTTCGGAAAAATTATGTATTGAAGTCAATGGAGAGAGAAAGATTATCTTTCGATCCCGTTTGAATTGTGCCACGAATTACACATATGATGTTTGTCAATTTAAAAGATAATTTTGCAAGTCAAAAAAAAAAAAAGTGTCGTAAAATTGTGAAGTAACACATTTGTTTGTGTGAAACGCTCAATGAACTACATCTCTGGTCAACCACACACGTCACCAAGATGGCCGTCACTACTGTCTTGTCAACAAAACGATTGACTATCCTCACTATCACCACAATGAAACACGTCCTGAAGAATGTCATGCAAAGCTGCCTGCCTGCCTTCCTTTGATTCTCTCTGAACTGCCTGGTCGTTTTAATGTTTAATGTCAACCATTTGTGCAGATAGCATGAAGTAGAGAAGATCGCTAGTGTTAGCGTTAGCATTTCTCCCCCGGGCTTAAATTGTGTATTATAGAATGATCACACCGGTGACAGTACTCTTCAAAGGGTTCACGAAATATGACTACTACTCTTACTGTTTAACATTGTGGGTTACTTAATGTTACTTCATGTTAAGGCTAATAAAAATGACAAGGCTGTAATGCTAACTAACGTGCTAGCTACTAGCTAGCTTGATCCAGAGTACTCCTGGTCCTTTCATCAGACGGGAAGCGAAAGAACGAGCAAGACCCATTGCTGGTATAATAACAACCTGGTACTAAGCACACAGGCATATTGTTAAAGTTATCTTATCTTAGCCAGGGCCATATAGATAGATTATATCTATATGGCGCTGATCTTAGATCTTAGTGGAGGAAAACAATTGTGACATCACTTACGCGACTCTGGGATTTGTAGTCTTTCTAGTTACGTATTTTTCATAGTCTTATATTTCAACAGTTTTACGACAAACTGTGACTTTTTTGACATGGAAATGATTTTTTTAAGATTGACAAACATCATATGTGTAATTCATGGCACAATTCAAACGGGATCGAAAGATACGTTTTCTCTCCCCATTGACTTCAATGCATAATTTTTCCGAAATAAGGTCCCATTACCCGGAAGTAAGTGGGCGTGACTTCGCCACTCTATACTACTCACTTTTGAAGCTGAGGCAGAGGCGTCAGCCAATCAAATCCCGCGTATGCAAATCTGCCAGTACAAGCGCTAGCCAATCAAACCGCGTGTATGCTGGGAGAGCCAGACCGCAGTTCATTTCCTCATATGTCAAAAAATGGAGGAGAAAATAATCGTAGCGGTAGGGAATCACCCGGTGCTTTCAGTCCCTGGGTCCTTCTCAGGTCGATTAAATGGAATCCTTGCGTCCCTCACTTGCGTCGTTTCCCTGCGTTTAGTCCCTCCCACCAGGGAAGCATGGAGAGACGCAAGGAAACCACGAGAAGCAGGGAAATGAGTTTTAAGAGCAATGGGACGTCCTTTCCTCCGGAGCGTCACATGAAGCGACGTCCGTTTGTGATGACGCTGCACAGCTGATCGTCTGACAGCAGCCAGCTCTGTCCCCGTTATTTTCACAAACACCCCCGCCTCTGTTAGTACACATTTACTGACACAAACATTTGTATCATCTGTTGTAGACCCAAATAAATCAAATCAAATAAGAACTCATTCTCAAAAAAGATAAACGCCATTCTTAAAATGTATAAACGAACAATAGTTGGATTAATATTGATTAGAGTGCACAATAGAAATAAAATAATTGAGAGAAGAAAAAGAGATATGTTATCTATCAAAACCCAGTTAGATTAACATTCATTGGATTGCACACTTTGTCTGTTTGTCTGGATATGTAGCAAATTAACATGTTAAATAGCACTTAATGACTGACTGAATGGAAATGACAATAAATGAACATGTAAAACGGAAAAAGCGATCATGAAAATGTTTCCAATAAATGAATAAAATTATTTTTGACCACTTTGTTGTTCAGATATATCACATATTTGTAACTGAATGATGCATGAATTGAAACAAAACACAGTATGAACTGAGGAGTGAGTCCCGTGAGTTTCATGTGTTTTCTTCACTCCGCTGGGAAACTCTGCTCTCAAGCATCAGATCAGTGCATGCGCTGCATCGTCCAATCAGTGAGCGATACACAGTAAGGGGGCGGGGCGAGTGTCTGAGGATTTCATCGAAGGATGGTCTGGTGGTTCCTCGATTATAGCTCCTCCATTATCGCTCCTCGCTCCTCGCTCCTCGCTCCTCGCTCCTCGCTCCTCGCTCCTCCGGCAAAAATAAGGCCATTGGGACGCTACTCAAGATGGCGCAGACAAATCAACTTCCGGTGAGACCGAGACCGAGGAGCGAGGAAATGAAAAATAAGAGAAGTGAAACGCAGCCCCTGTTCACCTACCGGGATACAAACCGGAGGAGTCAGGCATGGAGGGAGGTGGCAGAGACAGTGGGTGAAACTGGTAGGTTTTCGCCTGTTTGGGGAGTTTATATCCAGTGTACTTCGTTTGAATGGACAGCAGGCATAGACAGTATATTTAGCCACCATGCAATATTGCATAAAATAGCACCATAGACATGAATTAAAAATCGCTTTTTAGACATTAATGTCTATGGTGAGATTCATACACGGGAGCCTTTTTAAAGCCTTTTTACCCCGCTGCAAACAGAAACCCCCCCCTTCCCATCACAAACTTTACACAGACCCCCCTTCCAATTATCAACTCCTGTCTTGTTTCCGCAAACTCTTGTGTCCTGCAGCAGCTAAAAGTTTTTGCAAGCCCCCGTTCGTTTAGTACCTAAAATAATAGACATCGCTTTTTCCAGCTGACAAACCCGACTTTCTGGTCACTTCTTCAAATGTCCAGCCCTTGGGGAGAGACACGGGAGATTCATGTGATTGGTTGTTGGTCGCGTTGCTCGCGTAAACTCTCCAAGCTCAAGACACGCCCACCGCCAAGCGGCAACGCACGCCGCCGTGTGTAGGCTGAGAAGTATTAAAAAGCCCCAAAGACGTAAGCTTACGAGAATTTAGTGAGCAGCCATATGCTAGGACCTCACAATGTCATGTAAACCAGTCCACACACACACACTTTATAATACGTTTAAAACTAGTTCTGATACAAGCATGCAGATTAAAGTGCTTAACACAACCAATAAATACAATGTTGCAAGACCCTTACATTACAAAAGTTACATGACATGGTCAAATGTAAAAATAAAGGTAAACATGTGCATGGGATAAAGTTACAAAATCAATGAAAGCTTAAAAACTAAGGCTATAACCATAGACTGGCTATAACACACTCACACACACTGGGAACACTGTGTGAAATGTGGAGCCACAACAAAGTTGTATACAGTTTATTTGTTAAAGACTAAAAGAGGTTTAGTGAGCATTAGCTAAAAGTGATTGAGTTATATAAATTCAAAGGTCCAATAAAGAGGACACACATACTGTGCACACACACCCACTAACACACACACACTAAGTTATATCCAGTTAAATGTGCTCAAATGATTTGTGTGCGTTTCTCCCTTAAGTTGTCATGATAATTGTAATAAATCTCTTATTTTGACACATTACAGTGGATTTAGTGGTTAATCCATGAAAATGTCCCTGTTTCTTTCACCAGGCAGCAAAGGTTTTCTATGTTTGCTGGCGGGAAGTTAACAATTAATCCTCATTACACAATGGAGGCAAAGCTTTTGGTAAGTTTAAATGTTGCACACAGCATTTTGTCATGTGACACCTACAGTAGTGCATGGTTTTGATAATGTAGCACACCATGCTCAATGTATTTAGTAACTTCTTCCTCTAAAGGAAGTTGTGTCTCATTGCTGCTTCTTGCTCTGAATGTGCTGGTGTTGACTACATAGAGAAAATGTATTTACAGTGAATAAATGTAATCAAGCTGCTGTTCTCTTAAAACAGCTATATGAACAGTATGAATTCAACTATGAAATGAAGGTTACAATGATATTATGAGAAGCTCTCCTCCATACTCATGCACCACCGAGTGAATCCTGCAGAGGGCACTGTGTGACTGTTCTGCTCTGTTTGTTTCATTGGGATAGGATTATGTGATTTAAAATTATCTATGTATTCATTTAACCAAAAAGGATTGATATGATTGGTCACACAGTCACAATGAAACACTTTGTAGCACGTGTGATCGAAATCATCTGCTGTGCTTTCTTGTGCCTCTTTGTAATAATGTATATCTCATAATAAATCCTGCATTTGTTATATGTAGCTCTAGTATACTACTAAGAATATTCTATATGTTCCAATTCACAGTTTCCCCGTTTTTCTGTAAAAACTTAAGAATACACACACACGCACGCACCATTGTGCAAACTTTTCTCGCAACTGATTGGTTGATATACTCATACAGAGAGGGTGGGCCAAAGCTGATTAATTAGCATACCTATGCAGTCCCTTAAACGAGCCGGCAGCCTCACCTGACGCCTTGCACTCATCAAGCACACGGAGGAGGAGGAGAGGGGCCTGTCAGACACGGTGGAGATTTGGGTCCACTCACCCCCACAGCAACACTCAGATCCGGGCACCGTCCATGGTCTGTGCGTAAAGGCGCACAGCCAAAAGACAACTTTACGCGCCCCAAAGAGTGCTTCCCCCTCCGGCTCCCCACGGTCGATGCTGCTTTCCCGTAAGCAGATTAGTGACTTTCACACCCGGTGGTGCTGAGTGCTGGCCGGTCCGACCCAGAGAGTCCCTGGTCCTCCATGAGGCTGGAGGCCGCAGCCAGGATGGATGTGTTCAGGAAGCTGTGGGCAGCGAGGAAGCTGATCGTCGTTGTGTTCATCCCGTTGTCCCTGCTGCCACTACCGCTCATCCACCCCACCAGCGTGAGTACAAGTCAAATTCAATGTAAAAATTATTACAACCAGAAAATGTTTCAAAAGAGCACACTACAATTAAGGGGGAGATTACTGATAAACTACGACGTGTTTAACTAATTAAACTACTGGTCACTTTGGTAGGGGAATGTGAAGCAATGGCTGAACATTAAAAACGCAACATAACTGATGCACATTCAGTAATATTGACCTAAATGAGTATCAGAGATGTAAAAAGTACTCGTATCCTTTACTTAAGTACAAGTAGAAATACCAATTCATACATAAGTAAAAATAAAAAGTATTATCAGCTAAATGTAGGCTACACAAAGTATCAAAAAGTATCAACGTTTTATTTTTTTTGTAGAATGGCTACTTTCAAATACTAATCAAAGTTTATCACTAATACATGTGATCATTTTAATGTTGATTTCGCCTTTTTTAATTACTAGTTTACTGCTATTGTTAGATCTGTATTTAAGTATTATGGTATGTTTTTTTTACATATAAAAAGTAAGTAGTACCTGAACGTTTTAAAAAAATCTAGAGGAGAAAATGGTTCACTATTTTCCTATGAAATGTAGTGGAGTAGAAATAAGAAGTTGCATAACATTGATCCACTCATGTACAAGTACCTCAAAAAAGTATATCAGTAAAATGCCTTTTCTTTTTAATCCACCTATGATGAGTTGCATGGATACATAAGGAAACATCTGCTAGGAGATACAAATGCCAACATTGGTTAGTGGTACTCAAAAGTCTTAAAAAGATTATTATATGTGATTAATGTATGTATTACTATTATTATTTATTAAAACTAAAATAACATTAACAAAAAAGTTAATTAATTAGTCATTATTAAATATGTCAAAAAACCTCATAAATACCTAAAACATCCGATAGAGAGGTAAAGAAAACATCCACTGAATCTGTTGATGTCCCTCCTGCTAACGGCTTCACTGTGCTGATGGGATTTCAGTGTGTGGAGGGTGTGTATGGGCCAATCAAACAATCAAAAGGCACACTGTTTTGATGGATGCTTGATCATCAGCTGAGCAGTGTGTGTGAATGGGAGATGTCGCGACATGTTGATGAGATGTAGATCAGTGTGCTGCTTAAAGCAGAGTGGCAGAGAACTGATACTCAGTTCAACTGCTTTCTGTGACTGCCGCTGAAGAGGCTCATGTTTGTCTAGGAAAGACAAATTAAATTGCATTTGAAACAAAAGGATTATCTTAATCTGCACAAATCCAATAGTACAATCATTCCCTATTTAGTTTAATGGGTTCCTAATGTTTCCTTGCTAAGTTGTGTTTATATTATCGGACTTCTTCTTGTTGCATTTTGCTTCTTAACTACACTGGTATCATACAACTTCTGATTAAATGTCTTGCAGAATTTTGTTTGTCTGTTGTGTCAAACTTTCAGATTAGGTGAGGATTTTCCAATTAGACAGGCTGATGTTTAGTGAGGTGGTGGTTAAAAAATGCCTGAGAAGCTTGACTTGGAATAGATTTTCTGTGTTAAGTAACACACAAAGATTGTGTGAAGCAGTGAACCCAGATTCCAGCTTCAAAATGCTCTTTCACAATGTGGTCAACATTGGCCCCAGTTGTATTTAGTGTATTAACGCTTCATTTGAACTCTAATCTTTCCAAAGAAAACACACTATTTATCTTGTCGAAAAGAAAATGTTGTCTGTTGCTCAATTTTTTAAAACTGTTTATCAAGTTGAGCCTCTTTTTTTTATAATTCATACAAAGGTAGAAGCAGGAAATGCCATCTGCAAAATTAAATAATATATATACTGTATAATAAATACAGAATTTAAATACCAGTTATATTGGTATATGTTATATGTTACTTACACAAAATAGCACGTGATGAGCAAGGGAATTTTCCTTTTTTTACCAAAACAGGAAGCAAGTATGTGTATTTCCATCTTCTTGGATTGGAAAATACAGATGTAATTTGAGAAAGGTTTAAATATTATTTTATCACTTATGCTCACAACTTTAAAACAATACAAAAGTGGTGACAGCTGTGTGTCTATGTTACCAATGAGCTCTTCTGCGACACATGTATTTGTGTTATTCATAACATCTTAAATATTCAAAAGAACTGTTATGTGCTGGCCAGTTTGTCCGTCAGCTCTGTCGCCCAGGAGCCTTGCTGTTATGTCAGGACTTGTCGATGTTTGGCACGAGTAACTCTCACAACATGAGGCCACGAACAATCCTTCACTACAAAGAAAAAGAAAGAAACAATCCAAGCAATTAAGTTATATAATCACCTACCACCACGCTGGATTTCAACCCCACGTTGCTTCCCTACGACTCCAGAGAACCCACACTGAGTCAAGAATGTGACAGACATTGTGTGCGTGTGTGTGTGTGTGTGTGTGTGTGTGTGTGTGTGTGTGTGTGTGTGTGTGTGTGTGTGTGTGTGTGTGTGTGTGTGTGTGTGTGTGTGTTGGACTAGCACTGTGTCCAGCTGCAGCAGAACAACATGTTGGATGCGGTTGGGCCAGGTCAGAGAGAGACAGAAAGAAAGAAATCTAAAGCCAGTAGCAGATTTGCATAATGCTTGTGCCATTTTACATCCCAATATAAAGTTAAAGTTGTGGAGAAGTCAAGCTTTTAAAACGTAAGTCAGTCCGGCAGAACCTATAAATGGATGCAAACACATTTTGCCTAGGTTGCTATCCCTTTAATGTGGCTCACGATTTGGCAATTGCGGTCAGTCTTTTTTTTGGCTGACCTTTTATAAATATCCACTGCTTTCATGTAGTCTTTTCAAAATAAACTTCCACCTTCACAGGCTTGGTTTAGTGAAAGAAAATATTGTGTTTTTGGTTAAATTATACCGACTAAAGTGGTGCAACAAACATGTATGAGAAGAGCCTTGTGGTCTGGAGCCCATGAGGTTGATATTTGTTTCACAACTACTGGATTGATTGTCTCTTAACTTGCTACATTCCTTGTCCTATCAGGATAGATTGTAATGTTTTTGGTGATTAATTAACCTTTGACATATCATCAGGTTGTTGACCCCCCTGTTATTATTGATGGCCACACAACATTGGAACTCTATATCCACTGATTGCTTCAATCAGATTGCTTCAATGGATATAGGTTTCAGCTGTGATCTGATCTACCTATAAAAGGAGTACTTTGTTTTCTTTCTAAATACCAATCATCTCCATTTCCTAATGGTGTTGATTAGAAACTAATCAATGGGTTACATGTTTTGGCCTGTCAGCTGTTAAACTGTGGGAGGGAACCGTCCTTGTCATCTGATTAGAGTTTTTAGGCCAGAGATATGTGTAACCTACTGAAACATACACACATTTTCTCTTTATAAAATAAAAACCTTGAATGTTCATGAATAGATGTTGCCCCACTGTCATCCTATTTCAAAAATAAATCTATTGGTAGGGTTTTTAGGTTTCACTTGTTTTTTCTTGAAATCAGGTACAATGTATTAAAATAACGTGCTGAAAGCTTACATTTTTTTCCAAGTTAAACAACTTTAGGTCAGACCTTAAAGCAGGCCTCCTTCCAGCATGACTTCAGCTCATTGACAGTGTCAGTAGGAAGTCTTGTTATCATAGAGGCTATATCAGCCCCCATCATGCCTCTGCTGACCCAGCTTTTGCCTTTTACTTGCAAAACTATGTTTGAACATCTGACTGTTCTGCAGCTATCTTCTGATAACAGGAATAAGCAATAATCAGGTTCTGCTGAAAAGGCCTTCTGACTTTATTTATTTAGCCATGTTCGTCTTTTCTTATCTGTACATTTATCCTTCGTTACCTAATGTCACTTATTTGTCCTCTACCCAATCTTGACTACATTTGCATGCACATTAACTTTCCACTATTATTCAGAATATTACATTATTGTGAATCTGGTACAGTTCAAACATGCTGTTATATGTTAGCATGCTTACGTTAGCACTGTATTTTCTCCCCTTTCCTAGTATTACGTATGTGACCTGACAATATTTTAGATAGATTTTTGGGTTTAAAATTGTCCAAGTGTTGTCAAAAGTAATTGGAAGTATCTTCTTAAGGTCTTAACAAATGTCACGAGATTCCTCTTAAGTTTTTAAGGTTGGGGAGCCTGCCGCTAAGCCTGCTACTCTTTCCACATAGCAGTATGAAAGGCTGGTATGTTGTCATTATATAACCTAATGCAACATCCGTGTGTATGTTTGTTTGTGTTTGCAGCCGAGTTAGAGCACAACAAATACGACATACTACTTTGAATACGACTACATAAAAAAAAATGAACAAATTAGATACAAATTCTAATGAATGAGCTGTACAGAATATGGTTAGCAGTTATGCTAAACTAAGCTAACTGCTACTAGCTTCAGGATTCCCAAAGTTTCCTCAAATATTGAATCGTTGTGCTTTTGGATGGCACAACAGAAGAACATAAACACATACATTTGTGTGTTGTCTCATCAATGATTCTTGTTTCTACCTGCAGGAGGCATGCTGTGCGTACGTGCTGATGGTGACCGCAGTCTACTGGGTGTCTGAGGCTGTTCCTCTGGGTGCTGCTGCTCTGGTACCCGCTTTCCTCTATCCACTCTTTGGGGTGCTCAAGTCCAGCGAGGTGAGTTTCTATAAGCTGTCTTGTCTGTCAAACATTTCTCCCAGGCTTAAATACTCTGCGTATCCAGTGCAATTGCACAACAGTAGCAGGGTGATTCAAATTAAGACATATAACATTTATATGTTATTACTATTTCAACATCTAGTATGTGTTTGACCTCTCTGCTCACGTTAGCCTCAATGCTAACTACCTAGCCTAATGTAGGCCTTAGCTTAGTTATCAGAGTTTTTTTGCTCAAGAAATGGCTGCTGCTTCTGTAAACAGAAAGGTTAAAGAGATTAAAGAGGTTTTTTCCATCAACCTTTGACTACCAGATTAACATTTCAGTGCACTCTCTGCCCCCCCCCCCCCTTTTAAGACAAGGTTGGTGCTGATAACATGATTGAGCTCAGTAATGAGCTCTATTGACCTATTGACCTTAGTGTAGTTAAGTCTGTGTACATGTTGCAGAGCACAGTTTGCTTGATAAAGAATGGTACACATCCTCTAAAATACAGTCACAGTCAATGTGAGACTTGCATGTAAAAGCTACATGCGTGGTTTTCAGAATAATTAATGTATGCAGGCTTCGTTACAGTTCGAGATAAGCACTTATTAGGTCTAAACCAGGGCTATTCAATTAGTTTGGAATGGGGGCCGGTTGATGAAAATCATCCAAAGCAAGGGGCCGGGAAAAAGATGGCTTGAAATATGAGCAATCATATTAAGAGCTTCAGATACAGTAAATACTACAACAGCATAGTGGAGTGCATATATTGTGTTTAATTAAATCAAACAACATAGCCCCAAGGCCTTTATAGATCTAAATGGCAAGTTCAGAACTCAGTAGGCCTACATGTGAAGCTGATTTAACCATCAACATAATTTAATTTGATTTCATTTAGGTGAAATGATCTAATCATTCACGCAGAGATGCAATAAATGACAGGAGTTGTCACAACAGTAGCTAGTAGGTGGGTTCGAAACCCGAGCCCGCCGAAGTTTTCAGGCAATGTCTTCCCCTCTATCTCTCAATGTAACACCCTCTCTGGAATAAAGGCACTCTGGCCCAAAAATTTACAAAAAATATATATCTTAAATAATTTTTTTAACTTTTTAACATTATACTCAAAGGGCCAGTAAATATCACCCCGGGGCCGGATTTGGCCCTCGGACCGCCAATTGAATAGCCCTGGTCTAAACCATGTAGGGCCTAACAGCACGGCAGGTCATCGGCTAATCGGATGTGACAGCGTGAGAATGAAAGGCCCTTCTGTGCTATGAACAAAGTTTATTTAAAGGACTCATTTATGTGTGACACCGCATTGAAAACCTTGCAGATCATGCAAATAAAGATGGATGGTCATAAACCTCCAGAAGTGGCATAAAGTCAGCCATCAGTGAACACACATGAACGCTGTGATTGGAAATCAGGGGCATTCTACCAAATATTGATATTCTAAACTCTTCCTAAATTCAACGTTGGTATTTTGTTGGTTAAAAATGATTATAAACTTCTGTCATACCAGGTTTATTTTCTGGAATTAAATTCTCTCAATGACATTATTTTTGTTAGAAAATTGTTAGATTTCGTGTCAGTAGCAGAATAAAACATAATGTTAATTTGATTAAAACTAGATAAACTGATTATTTCAGTGGTCTCTTACATTTATCTGCAGCTGTACATCATAATCATTTGCAACTTAATAATAACCATACATTTTTTTAGATAATAATAACCAAAGAAAAAAAATATTACCAATTAATAAAGTGTTAGAAATATCTGCTCCATAATTTTGACATTTTACATAGGATTGATTAAAATGTAAACTATTGACTTAATAATGAAATTCTTAATATAGTATATATTAATATATATTATATAAATATGTTATATATTGTGTGCAAACAATAAACTGGTAAATTATTATCATTATGTAATTACAGTTCATTTTCCATCAATAAATATGTCTAAAATAACCCTTTCTTATGAGCATTACATGAAAAGGGGGCTGTACGCCTCATATGACCAAATCGCATTGACAAACAGTGAGAAAGCTGCTGTAAGCCTCTTGTGATGGGGTTGTGTGAATGTGCCAGCTCAGAGGATTATGCAACATGTTCACTATTATCGTCCTCACGGCGCCACTTTACCAAGGAGGTGAGCACTGGCTCTTTTTTCCATCAGCTGCTTTAAAGCTGGCAACAAAATGTAGGAATTGTCTCCTACAGTAGTCTGCTGCGTCTCACTATTGGGGCACATCATCTGAACCACACCATGTGGTTCTGTCATTGAAAAGGTTAAAAAAATTCAAGTCTCCTAAGTCACTTTTAAGACCCAAGACATGTCAACATTTATTGTAAATGACGTGTTGTTTTTACAGTAGAAGGGATTAACCATGTAAATTAAAGTAGGGCAGATTACATTATTCATCAGCAGAGGTGCAAATTAACAAATGACATTTACTCAAGAACTTAATCACGGTTGTGAGGTATTTGTACTACCGGGTTTTTTTCTTTTCATGCACATTTCTACGTCTGCTGTACCACATGTCAAGGGGAAATGTTCTACTTTTTACTTCTGTCCATTTATTTTACAGGTTCAGTTCCTAGATAATTAACACATTTACATTTTGCACACAAAAAAATGCACAAGAATATTTAGGCTTTCATGTACAGCTGGAAAATTAAGCCCATTAATATATTAGGAATATGTTTATTGTTTCTGTAACTCTACATGTAAAAACAGTATATTCCCAGCTTCTAAAATGTAATGATTTTTCTGCATTGTGTAATTATTCTTTTAAAATTTAAAGTACATTCTCCTCATATTTGCACTTTTACCTAAATTAATTATCTAAATATTTATTCCGCCATTGGTCATCAGTGAACTCATTTATTTTACCCAGTTTAGTAGTATAAAGACTATCTTCCTGAACAAAGGCAGAGCTTTGGTGGGACAACATTATCTGTATCAGTTGTATTCCGTAATGTTATTCTTGTCATTTCTCCATCGGACCTCAATTCCATGAAGGACGTTTTGAAATATCCAGTTTTAGAGTAGAAGCAGAGAGTTTAAAGCCCTACACCCTGTGTAGTTGCTTTGCTGTTTACTACTTTAAATGACAGAGAAAGGTGGAGTGTTGTGAAAAATGCGCAGCAGCAGGAGGAAGTGAAACGGTTTTAGGTGAGAGGTTAGGAGACGTGGGCTTACACAACACTTTGAGGCCGTGAACCCTGCGGGTGGGAAGTAGAGCAGATTAAAAAGAACAAACGGCAAACTGTTAGTGTTGATCCAAACCAAGGAAGAAAAGGTTGGACAAAAGGCCCCATCGCTGCTTCTTGTCTCCTCAGATCTCATGACATTCCTACATTTCATCTTGTGCCTTCAATCAATTTGTAAAAGTTTTCAAATATTTGTTTTAACTGGAATAAAACAAAGCCTGTGTGTGTTTGTTTAGGTTGCAGCAGAATACTGTAAAGACACCACCCTGCTGCTGATGGGAGTCATCTGCCTCGCAGCCTCCATAGAGAAGTGGAACCTGCACAAACGCATCGCTCTGCGCATGGTGATGATCGCAGGGGCCAAGCCTGGCATGTAAGCAGCACACGCACACGCACACGCACACGCGCACGCACACGCACACATACACAAACAATACAACATTTTAAAGATCATTTATGGTCCAACAGTGCCTTTTTTTTTTTTTTTTTAAAGTCAGATTTGAAAAGACAGAGGGGACGAACCCCAGCAGTTCCTGTCATATTAACTAATTCAGCTCCCTGTCTCTCCTGCAGGTTGGTGCTGGGCTTCATGTGCTGCACCGTGTTCCTGTCCATGTGGCTCAGCAACACGTCCACCACAGCCATGGTGATGCCCATAGCCGAGGCCGTCCTGCAGCAGCTGATCTGCACCGGCCTGGCCGACGGACACGCCGACTCAGAAACCGTAGAGGCGCCCGAGGACGACAGCGGTACGTCTGGCTCAGTCACCACAGGGGGGGGGGGGGGGGGGGGGGGGAACAGTGAAGGCTTCAATGTTGACCTTAAACAGATGTTGATAGCAACGCTTCTACCAACACCCACACAGGACTGTAGATGGATGATCTGGGTGAAGTGAAGCAAAATAAGAACCATGTGATGATGGTGTATCCAACTGTAGCACAACAATATTTGTAGTTAATAGAGAAATGTAACAAGTTCCACCAACAATTATTTTGTTACACGCTAATGTTGATCATCGTTTGTGCAGCTGCTTCAGAAAAAGAGGAGGACAACCTGGACAAAAACCAGCTAGAGCTTCTTTACCACAACAACAGGTACGTGCATGTGTGTATTTAACATTAAACAAGATTCGGAAATACTCATCCAATGGAAACCAAAATGTTAGCTGAGTTATTTTGTTATTGTTCATTTTCTCTCCTCTTCTCTCTGCAGCAGTGTCTGCTCTAAACAGGAGCTAACAACACTCAGTGAGGTGAGACCAACAGAGGCTTTTCCACCAAGCAGACGCTCAACAAATAACCAGCAGTCATATAATGCAAGTGAAGGATTTCTCTCTGAGTCTTCTTATCTTGTTCTCAGGTGCAGTGTTGTGAGGGGAATGGTGTGGGTCTGGAGGCAACCTCTAACCCGACGTACATCAGGCACACCAACGGACTCCTGCCTCAGGTTGGGAACACACACACACACACACACACACAACACACACACACACACACACAGACACACACACAGACACACACACAGACACACACACACACACACACACACACACACACACACACACACACACACACACACACACACACACACACACACACACACACACCACACACACACACACACACACACACACACACTTAATTTACGATATACTCCTCCCTCTCTCTCAGGTTGCGATTGAGTTCCCAAATGTGAAGCGCATCGAAGCCAGGAGAGACTCCCAGTATCCCACCAAGAAGGATCACATGATCTGCAAATGCCTGTCGCTCAGCATCACCTACGCTGCCACCATCGGCGGGCTCATCACCATCACTGGCACCTCCACCAACCTCATCTTTGCTGAGCAGTTCAACAAGTAGGTTTATGTAGATATGCGTCTGTATGCGTAGGTACACGTTGTTACACGTAGGTTCATGTATGTGGACGTGGGTAGAAGGACATACACGTCGGTAGGTACATGTAGAAACATGAATGTAACCGTAGATACACGTAGACACATGCGGGTACACGAAGGTACACATAGGTATACATAGATACATGTAGATACACAAAGGTACCTGTAAAAACACGTAGCTACACGGAAACCCAAAAAGTAGGTATTCATAGATACACAAAGGTACATGTAGGTCAACATAGGTACATTTAGGTAAATGTACTGTAGGTGCACACAGGTACGTGCATACACATAGATACACGTAGGTACACATAAGATGACAGAGTACATGTAAGTAAACGTAAGTACATGTACGTGCACACCTCGTCAATCCACCTTCCTCTGACCGCAAGATTAATTTAAAGCAGGTTTAGCATGGGTTGGGTGCTGGTATCACACAGTTGTTTTGGTATGGTATTAGCTCCAGTAGACACCATCCACACTTTGAAACATGATTACGGCTTGATTGATTTCTTGGCGTCTGTGCTGGTCAGACTGAGACAGTCCCTGTTAACTCAGTGTCTGGAGGGCTCCCACTGCTTAGCCTCTATAATGAGCGATTTTCTCCAGCCGCAGCAATAAGCCCAGCAGAATGGCCTCCTTCATGTCTCAGCTTGTTGGACAAAGGTCAGGTTTTGGTTCTGCCTGTGTGTGCAATTGTAAATGTAATCCTAAAGTGATACAGCAATCCATCCAAGCGGTGTGAACAATTAGAAAATTCTCCTCCCCAATATTTCCGTTCCATTGAAGTCGATGTAACTCTGCTTCTCTCTTTGTCTCTTCAGTCGGTATCCAGATGCTAAGGTGATCAATTTCGGCACATGGTTTATCTTCAGCTTCCCCATCGCCATCATCATGCTGGTCCTCACCTGGCTGTGGCTGCACTTCCTCTTCCTGGGCTGCAAGTGAGTGTGTGGGAGTGTGTATTTTTAAAGATGTGTACTGTGTGAACATACATACTAATGCATCTCATCATTACAGACTCCCGTGATAATCCTGTTGAGGTTTGTGTTACACTGTGGTTGCATGTTTAACACACGCACTGAATGTGCCTGATGTTGTTTTTTGTGTGTTCAGCTTCAGGGAAACGTGCTCATGGAGTAAGAAACGCAAAACCAGGAGAGAGATGCTGTCAGAGAAAAGGATCCATGAGGAGTACGCCAAACTGGGACCCATCAGGTGTGTGCATGTGTTTATATGTGTGTCTGGTTTATTTGTTGGAGCTTTACCGACTTAACTGGATGTCCCTGAGATTGGTATGTTGTATTTAAGGGAATTTAGTTGATTATTGTGGGGATTTTTTTGTTATTTAACCGAGGAAATGTGCCACTTTTAGGTGATTTTCAGTTGAAACTAACCAACTCCGTACAGGAACAACTTGTTACAACCTAATTAGTTTGAAAATCATGCATTTATTTGAGCCAATTGGACATTTTTTTAACATTCAAAGACGTTACGGATTATTCTATGAGCCATACCGAGACATTACTCTGCAATCACTCATGTCATTGTTGCTCATATGCTGTCGTGGTTTATATGTGTGTCGTAGCTACCCAGAGGTGGTGACCGGTGTTTTCTTCATCCTGATGACCCTGCTGTGGTTCACCAGAGAGCCAGGTTTTGTGCCCGGCTGGACATCCCTATTTGAGAAGTGAGTGCGTAACACCACACACACATTAAACTTACACTCTCACACAGACAGACATGCACATTTTCGTCTCTCTTCTTTTGCATCTTTTATATCTGTGGTGTTCTCCCTCTCAGGAAAGGCTACAGGACAGACGCCACAGTCTCTGTACTTCTGGGCTTCCTGCTCTTCCTCATCCCTGCCAGGCGACCTTTCTCCTCCTCCTGCTCTTCCTCCAGTTGTAGGAACACAGGTCAGAACTTTGGAATAGCTTTGCTTTTGTCAAAAATATGTTCATTAAGTCAGCATAAACCATTATAAACACAGATATATACAGAGATAAATTGACATTTTCTCTGATTTAAAAAGATGCAGAGTCCGACCCAATGGCTCCCATGATCACCTGGAAGGACTTCCAGAAACTGATGCCGTGGGAGATCGTGATCCTGGTGGGAGGCGGCTATGCGCTGGCTGCTGGTTGTAAGGTAACTATACATGTGTTGGTGTACTGCAAGTTCTCTCATGAGGGTTAGGAAGCTTCTAGGTGAGAAGTCTTGATCTGATTTGATCTGTCTGTGTGTGTGCAGGTGTCAGGCCTGTCAGTGTGGATCGGCAGACAGCTGGAGCCCATGAGTGGTCTTCCTCCGTGGGCCGTCACCCTGCTGGCCTGCCTGCTGGTGTCAGCGGTCACAGAGTTTGCCTCCAACCCTGCGACTCTTACCGTCTTCCTGCCCATCCTGTCAGCGCTGGTATGAAACTCCTTTTCACACAACTATTCTCAATACTTGGTCCCAATACCTGGGTTTGGGTGGCTCTACAGGGGCCTGTAAACGTGATGTTTAGAGACACCAGAGAGGAACAGAAGTATTGACAGAAATTCAAAAAATCTAAACTTGGCAAGTACTTTATTGCCAAGGAGCATGCAGGCTTTGCTCCTTTGGCTCATTTTTTGAAGAACATTTATTTTAAACCGTGCAACATGGTGCTAATTTCTGCTTCAATACCACTCTTTTTGATTAACTTATACAATGAAGATTAAGCACACTGGAGAAAAACAATAATACAGCTTTCTGACACAATTGAACCTTTTAAGGAAACATGCTCACTGGGTGTCTTTTAATGAGTGGGTTTAAGAGGTGCTGGAAGGTGGATTTTCTTACCTTCAGACAGAGCCAGGAGTTTGCCCGTGTTTCCAGACTTCATTCTAAGCTTAGATAACCGGCTGCTGCATCTTATTGAAGAGACAGATATTTGAAAGCATGATAGTAATTCAAAAAATGTCCACTCTAGCTTTAAAAGCCACAAATGATCTCTATAGGTTTTTTTTTGCTGTGTTGGAGAAATTATTCTTTCATCACACATATCCTCATAAGCAACTAATTAGACATTTGCTTCCTACTTATGAATGACCCCCCCCATATTGCTCAGAGGTAAAGCTAATGTCGTGTGCATGTGGTAGCAGGAAGCTTTATAAACCCACACTCTGCATCTTGTCTGTACGATGTATCTAAGCCTATCCTCCCTTTCTCCCTCCCTCTCTCCTCCCTCCCTGCAGTCAGAGACTCTGCGCATCAACCCCCTGCACACTCTGATCCCCTCCACCATGTGCGTGTCATTCGGGGTCATGCTTCCAGTCGGGAACCCCCCCAACGCCATCGTCTTTAGTTACGGCCACGTGAAGATCAGCGACATGGTAAGCACGCACACACACGCACGCACGCACGCACGCACGCACGCACGCACGCACGCACGCACGCACGCACGCACGTACGCACACACACACACACACACACATAGATAAACACACACACTCAGTCACATGCTCTTTCTGCACCTGTATCATCAAAAGGCTAAGAGTACAATGTGTCAAAGTTCTTTAATTTAATCATGAGGATGAGATGTCCTAACTCTTGCTGGTTTTCAGGAAGACAAAGGCTTACAGTGGACCTAACCTAACTTGTATTTTCCTCTTTGTGTCCTCCAGGTGAAAGCAGGCTTTGGGGTGAATCTGATTGGCGTGGTGGTGGTGATGTTGGCCATCAGCACGTGGGGGGTTCCCCTGTTCAACCTGAATGAGTTTCCAGACTGGGCAATTGCCAGGAACGTCACTGGGGGCTTATAACCACCACTGAATAACTGAGAGACAGAGAGAGAAAGAGATGGGGCAGTGTTTCTGAAAAAAAAAGGACCGTCTTGCTCAGAGTTTAGCCCTTTATTAGACGGATAACTGTACCTGAAGAAGAAGAAAGAAGAAGAAGATGATGAAGAAGAGAGAGCAAAAACAATACCTGTTGATGCAATAATACGTTTTATATTGTAATAACAAGGACAGAATGCCTTTGTCACAGTGGCCTCTGTGCTCTGACTTCCAGTCACAGGATTTTTTTTACCATTGTCAACCAAGTTTGATGGAGATTCTGTTTTCCACAAAATCACTGAAAATATTACTCAGAAATACAAACATACAGTATTTATGGTGATCATTAAGTTGTTTTGATTCAAAATAGCGATGTATAAACTGTTTTCAGGGCCACATCATGCCTTATTAGTTGATGTTTAGATATAAATAAGCTATATGGCCATACTAAGTAAGCCTCTTTTTACTGCATGCTTCCTGCTGTACTTTATGTATGATTCTTTAACCATGGAAAGATTCCTGAGAGAATTTGAAGTATTATTCTGATATATCCAGTTGTCTTTACTGTCCGATGTGAAGCCAGATAAATGCATGAGAAGAGGCTTCTACTAAGGCTGATAATGTACTGTATACATGCATGCTGGTCCAGCCTTTCAGATGTGCCTAGTATCTTATTTGTAAAGGTGTTTTTGTTCTTTTGGCAACAAATTGGGAGCTGATGTCTTGTCCAAAGTTACTGAAGCTGATCATACTGTGAACACACCATAGCGACCTTCCGTATTACTGCCTGTCATACCAACGCCTTCCTCCTTAAATCATGGAACACAGAAGTGTAATTGCTTTTTACCGTGCTATTTCTCAGACATACGATTTTATTAGATAACATTAATATATTAAGAATGTAAGCTGTATTTAAGGTATAGATAGCTGAATGAACCTACAAGAGTTTATTTTATGCAGATTTTATTATCAAGTTACTTTTCATTGTAGCCTTTCCTTATCTTGCCATTTAAGTGGTTTTACACACTCCTGGCATTATTTTTTGTTTCTTGACCCGTGTGCCTTTGATCCTGAATTAACTTTGTCTTGCTTAATTACTTTTTGTTGACTTTTGCTTGTTGGTCAGATGCGTTTTTTTTGTCATATTGAATACATCTGAAATCATAACATTCATAAAATCTTAGAAAAATCTACTAGCTATGCAAATATGATGTATGATGTATGAAATATACGATCAATAATCAAAAGCTACTGGAGTTAACACAGAAACATATATTTTAAAATGTGTGATATTAGCATGTTAAGCTACAGGATGATCATGTTTGGTTTTTGTTTTTGGTTACCCTGGAGGTGTGATTTTTCTCCTGGCATGTGAAGCTAAAAGAAATTCAGAGTTGGGAGGTAGCCAAGTTACTTATTGTGTCTGAATGCAGCACCCAAAGCCTTTGAGGAGAGAGGTAGCACAGGGTGGGATTGAACAAATGTTCAATTCAATTTCAAATCACAATTCTGTCATCTGGAGGGGAAAAGGCTTGCACAAAGACATAGATGCAATGAACTGTGCAAAAATAGCCTCTATATTTTTTACACACATTTTAATGCAATTTTTGACTTTTTATATCACTGCATTATAAGTTTAGGTCAGTGTGGGTAGTGAAAAGCCATAGATGCTTTTGTAATTTGTCCTGCCCTACTGAAGGTTTCATACAACTTTATGGTGTAAGAGCAACACTCCTTTGTAAATAAATACAGATTTGTAATATAAAATGTATGTGCCTGTTTCCAAATGAGCTGTACTATTCTTAATTGTCTCATGTCTCAAGAAAAAAACTAGAGTTAAGATGATACAACAATAAAACTACTGAAGGCATTGAATTCATTTTATTTATTTACATCCAACAGCCCTAGTCAGTCACACTTAAAGATGTTGATAAATCAGGATTAAAAGGAAAGCATCAGTAAAGATCAGCATTTATTGATCAAAGGCAATTTTTCAAAATTTCAAACAGCAATAGTAAAGTTTTACCACAGTGACATTACATGTAATTTCCAGGTGGATTCACCATCTTTCCTCTCTCGTCGTTTCCTTTAAAACATCTCAGAGCAGCTGATCAGGTGAAGAGAAGCTCAAATAATTTTGAAACAGCTGGTGAAATGCATGTTCCTGGATGCAGCTTTCATCTCTGTACAAATAAATAATCACAGTGGTGAAGTCCATAATAAAGTTAGAAAACTCCTCTCCCAGTGTGCACCTCTGGCTCTGATCTGAAAGCCAGTCAGACTGCAGGTTTTGGTTAGGAAGGTTGCTTAGGGCCTTCAGCCGGCTTGAATCCTTCAGTCTCCATCTTCGCTTTGTATTTCAGATATTCTCTCCTCTTGCTGAAATATTTCACCTGTCAGGGAAAATATAAAAAGATGAGTAATGACCCCATTTTAACTGAAGCTGTAGCTTTCACCTGATTGGGGAGGGATGAGGCATATTCTTATTTTTTTATAGATTACTGATATTGAGATTGTTTAAACACTGCCACGGTTCATCCTTTCTGACACCAGAGATCTCAGTAATCACACGGATAAAGAGGGGATATTTTACCCATTGAGCAGGACAGTTGGACTCGAACTCGCCCTGGAACTTCAGGCAGGATTCAGCTTTGTCCCCATTGTCATCCAGACACTTCCACAGCAGGTCCCTGGAGTCCCAGCAGGCCTTCCTCTCTGAAGAGTTAGGAGCACTCATCGCAGCTTGATCCTGGGAGAGATGTAAAAAACGAAAGGCTAGGCAACAGAAATGGATGTAGCTCCAACTGTGTGAAAAAAAAATCCAACTATGATTTAAAATGTCTCACTATAGTACCTTACTGTAATACCACTACTACTTGATCACACGTTTTTACAGTCTAACCCCATATCCTTCATGTTTACACAAACTATCGTTACTTACTTACTGTGTGTTTATGTTGTAATGTTCAGCCTCAGTAGAGCCACTATCGTCGCTTTGATAATAACTACAAATAACACATATTTTGATTCAAACTATCACTATTCACCGCTCCTGTCTCTCCATTAAAGCCGAATAAACAGAGTAAAACTGTCCCTAAAGCAGAGACTTTTGTAACGTTTATCACTGAAGGACACGAGCGACTACACTTCCTTGTCGCGTTGTGATGACGTCTAGGCGTGCTTGACAACACGCACCAGGTGATGGCGCAGTTTGTTCAGAAATACAAACTTTAGTGACATGTCTGAACGTTTTTATCGTTTTTCAGTGAATATTAAACGTCTGAAACAAACAACGTGTTTCCTTCAGGTTGCCGACTGGTAAGAGTGATTTATTAGCTAATGTAGCATCTCTGTTTAGCTTTCTCTGTGTTTTAACCCTTTATATATACAGTCTATGGTTTTAACATGTCAACATCACAACACTGTCAGCGTAAAGCAAAGCATTGTTCCTCTGTTCTGCATATTTAAGTCTTTAAAATGTATCTTACTGTAAGTTTAAGAGGTGGAAGAAGTACTCTTTTAACTAAGTAAACGTAGAATTGCCAGAGTGTAGGAATACTCAGTTACAAGTAAAAGTCCTCCATTCAAAATGTTACTCAAGTAAAAGTGCAAAAGCCTTAGCATCAAAATATACTTAAAGTACCAAAAGTAAAAGTATTCATTATGCAGATTTGTGCATTTCAGAATCATATGTATTATATGTTTTGGGTATAATTCTTGATACATTTATGTGTGTATTACATCAATGAAGTGGAGTAAAATTCCAATATTTACCTCTGAATTGTAGTAGAAATTAGAATAGAAGTACAAATTAGCATAACATGGAAATACTCAAGTAAAGTACAAGTACCTTAAAATTGTACTTAAGTACAGTACTTGAGTACATATACTTAGTTACTTAACATCTCTGCCTTCCCGACATATTTTAGTCGTTGAAATGTATCTGTATTTAAGAATTGTAATCTAATGTAAACTAATTGTACAAAAGTGCTCGATAAATGGTCGCACTTTGATGAAACTATCAACAGAAAACCATCAAATCCTAAATAAAGATTAGGCTTTTTTAATTAAGTTGCACAGCTTGAAGTGGAAACAGTCCACTGACTAAAGTCCTGACAAATTTAAAGTGATTAGAAAGAGGATGGGTTTACTCTTGCTGTCATTGGGCAGTATTTGAAAAAGTAGATCCCTGTCCTTAGATCTGAGATAGTGGCTGTTTTTATGAATGACTAACCTTCATAACACAAATATGCTGATTGTTATGCCATAATTATAGAGGGGAACCACACATGTGAAACAAATAGGTTCGAATTTAGGCTGGGCCAAATATTAAATTGGTATTTTCTTATTTAATTTAAAACTTCAGTAAAACAAAACGAGTTTTCAGGTAAAAGTGTGATTTCCAAACAAAACAAAAAACCTATTCCCTAAAAATATTACACACCAAATTTTCAATTTCACATTTATTTTTGAATTCAGACAAAATAATTGTAAATCACCATATATAGATATGATTTCTTCAGAATTGATTCCATTGAATGAGGATGCATTATTACAGAAACAATTTGTATTCAATACTTCGTTTATGGCCTCTAAAGAAAGTAAGGATATAACCTCATTTTAGGAGTTTGGCACTGAGATTCAAGGACGTACGATAACGTTTGTGTGTGTGTAACTTTTGTGTGTGTGTATGTATGTGTATAAGTAATGAAAGTGTGTGTTGTTGATTAACTCCCTCTCTCTTCTTCTCCGTCCCTCAGCCACAGTGACGGTGAATAGCCCCACTGGTTGCCATGGCTCCCAGCAGCAATCCATCTCAGTCTGTGTGCTTGTGCAGACTGAGAGGAATAAAGAAACAAGTAGGGTGAGGAGCTCGCCCTCTTCTTGGGAAAGTAAGTGTTTTTCAGCCTGTGTGTGTGTGTGTGTTTGTGTGTGTGTGTGTCTCCCTCTCGCTGCTTCAGAGACAGAACTTCATTCACTATTCATATCACACACACCATTGACTGACCTGAAGTTTGTGTCCTCCACTGTCAATGAGTGCTTTTGTTTTCATCTGCTTCAGTAGGGAGATTTGAGTCCAAAGTTCATGTACAAGAACAAGTTTTTCAAATGTATCCGTATGCCAAAGAGTATAAACAAAAACAATACATGCACGAACGGTAGACATGAGATGTTAAGCAGCAAAAGCACAACAGCTCTTTCTAATAATATGTCATGAAATGTTCTGTAACTGCTCTTGGGAATGAAAACAATTGTTTTCTATAAAGGGGTTTTGAAGTGACAGTAATTGGTTGGATTGCAAGAGCAAGTGCACCATATTTTCTGTTGATGGGCATATACAGTAAGGCAGATGTTTTAAGATGGAAAATAGTCCCCAAAGGAATACCCAAGGCCCGATGATGTTGTACTTTTATCTACCATAATGCACATTATACCAGTTTTAGACAATGATAGTATCCACAAATATAAGCCTAGTTGTTAGTTAGTGGATGAAACACCTTCTGGTACATTTCTTTAATTACCCACTGTAGCCTTTTTTTTTTTTTTTACTTTGTTTATTGGGTTTTTTCAACAGCATACAGTTATTCTATCAGAGCATGTATCAAAAGTAGGTAAACAAATCTTCACTTTATAGAAAAATAGGTAGAGAAATATGTAAATACTGCGTAACCCACTGTAGCTTCAACAGGAATTGCAACCATTGTTTGTACACCAAGTCTGCCATATTCTAGTTGAAATGAACACATTCATCCTAATAGAACTGTTATTGCAAATACACACGCCAATTTAACACACCGACAATCTTGATTTGCGCGTTTTAAATCTTACATTTAAAGGCACTTCTCTCCACTTGTGTATGGATGGGTGCACACTAAAGTTCTCCTGAGTCAGGATATCATGCTCAATATGTCATGTTAATAATTGAATAAATAATTCACAGTGACCTTTGAGCCTGAAATGGCAGTTCTTTGGCTGAGGTGCATCCCATCTCTCTTGGGCATGGTCTTTAGAGGTATTAGTGTGGGAGGTTAAACATATCATCTATAGTTTTACACTATTACAGTAAAGTAGTTTTCCTTTTATTAGTTAATAAGTAATTAAATAGACAGGCAGTACAGTGTTTGACATTGATTTCCTGCTCACAGCAGCAGAGCAACAGCTACTGCTGCAGTATGGAAACACCATTTGGACAAACTGCAGTACACCATAATACTAGAACTGGTTATAATAATACAACTTTTGATCAACTTATGTTTAACCTTTTTTTCCAATGACTCATAAAACACACACACACACACACACACACACACACACACACACACACACACACACACACACACACACACACACACACACACACACACACACACACACGCATATGCATACATCTTTAAAACACACACTTAGAGACCAACACTCCTACTCTCTTTCAGTTCCACACTCACAATCACATGCACGCTGCAATTCAGCTGTTGCCTTGCAGTAGAACAATACAGTCATATTTCAATCAATAAAACTATGTTTAAATCAATTTGTTTTGTTAAATTATTGACTTATTTGTTAGTAAGTAGCCGTGTAATTAGCAGGATATATTACCCCTTACATATTTGTCCCCGGGGGGCAATTTCCAGAGGTATGTAAAGCAGTACAGCGACACAATGTAGGAATAACAAAATGAATACAAAAATACAAAAAAAGGCCAAAACCAGTATGATTATAATGATACAAAATGATAATTAGCTATGTTACTCTCTTAGGAGGTGTGTGTGTGAGAAAGAGTTGCCAATGCGGGTCGATACCTGCGTTGGCAACACTTTCTCTCTCACTCACACACACACACACACACACACACACACACACACACACACACACACACACACACACACACACACACACACACACACACACACACACACACACACGATACTGACCTCCAGTTGCCTCCGATGGAAGTCAATATCACTGTCAACTTGGAAACGGTATCCACTGTCATGGCAACAAGGGGCAAGGCACACACTCGCCACTCGTGCAGACAAACAAACCACGCGTTGGAACGTGACGTTAAGTATACGGGAGGATCCAACAAACCTCATCTACATACTTAAAACAGGTAATTGTTCATGGTCCCCAGAGGATTAACCTGACCTACATCCAGACTACATGAAAACTTGCTATTTCACCCGTATGAGCTGAATTACCTTGGAGTTGGAGTGAGTGGCCTACTATATAGTCTGGGTTTTTCAATTTTCTTTTTTTGCTTAAGCTGGCAATATAACGCATACTAGCTGGAGAATAAGTGAACACAATATAAGATCAATGTATTTGGCCAGTGTCAAGTATAAAAGCAGAAAGAATATAAAACAATACAGACACTACACTGAATTCAGACTACCTTATCTGGTTCTTCTTTTGTTGGACATCATTAGGTTTATCTTGACGTCAATATATTTTAGCACTATTTAGTTGTACATATGTTCCAGTATGTTGTCATAACAGTGAACTTAAAAAATGTATCAACAGTCAGGTCAAAGTCTTGAAAAATGAAAAAACGTTGTTTGTTAAAAGTTAGACTAGCTTGAAGTCTCCTGTAAATGTAATCTTGGGGATAAGGCAAAGAAAAGGATCATAAAAAAACACATTTTAGGTCGCCAGCTTGTCCAAAAAGCGATGAGACAACTCAATACAATCCGGCTAACAAGATTGTGTGATGCAGGGCATAAGGCATGCCCCGGGGAATACACAGTTCAAGGAGACCTGACATACAGCAGGACTGGTACTATTACTGCTCGAGCACCAGCTTCAAGCAAACCACCGTAATGTTGTACTCAGCGTGACACTTGCTTTGTCCAACTCAAATCAGAAACAGGTCTAGCAAACAGTGCCTATAGTTGCCATGCCACCTTTAGAGCAACCCGTATCACGTCAAATCTGATGGACTTAAAGCTAGGATGTAGGGTCAAAATACTTAATGGTGGATGACCTACATGAACTCCAGATGAGTGGTTGACCTCGCTATAAGCACAGCAAGAGAGCGCAAACACATAATCCATAGCTGCCTGTGTGCTGTGAAAACCCAATCATCTTTCCGCAGCAGCAGGATGGGAAAAGCTCAGGATATTTATCAGGAGGCGACAGCACGCTGTGATCATTCACCGCACAGTTTCCACGTGTGTGAATGTGTGTTTTGTTGAGATGATGTTACTTTAGTTTGCCTTCTTTTTTCTGTCATGTTGTTACTAACCCCATAACCCCCCCAACCCCCCCCCCCCCACACACACACACACACACAAAGGCTTATATCCCGGAAGCATGGTGGCAGGGGGGATATTGTAACAAGCATCCGAAAAAATGTTGGTCCAACAAGTGAGACAAGGCTCCCCGCCTGAATAAAAGAGGATTATCTCTCTTAATTTATGATAATTAATGCACACAGAGTAATGAGAGCAGCATGTTATTGTGTGACTGAAGCCTGTCTCACTCTCTCAAACTGTGTGTTATTGAAGCCTGTTGCTTCACACACACTCAGTACCACGCCATTGTGTATCTCATGGGAATCTTGAAGTCCAACCACTGCCAAATCTCTGCACCAATGCGTTTTACACACACACTGATTTCACTTTAGGGCAGCCTCATCCTGGTTGGATCCACATTCTTGTTTCGCTTCACGGCTTTACACAAAATCTTAAAAAACTTAAAGCATTGTGAGGCAGTCGAGTAAAACCTTCAGGGCCACCATGATGTTCCGAAAGATAGACTTGGTGTCTGTCTGTATAGTAGTTAACTATAGTTAACTGTATGATGTAGGATCTGTATGATGTGTCCTCTATTCCTTATTGTCCACTCTGTCTTGTTTCTATAATTAACTCAGATATAATGTGCAAAAATCCCAACAAAACTGGCCAATCCCTCCCTGTATGCTGTGTCATGAAGATACTGCAACTCACTCAAGGAGCACGTACTGAAACAGATTTGAATACAAATACCCTTAATAGAGACATTATATACTCATAACAGTGAAACAGGACATAATAAGGCCATGCAATTACCAAGCATGGATGCACTGCACAACATCATGCGTTTTTTTTCAATTGCTTACATTGTGGTGAAGTATGATGACACGTTCATGTATTACTATAGAAATAGAAAAGCATGTATCCCCCTACAGCCTTTAAACCTCAGCTGCTTGCTGCACACACACACACCATGCCTCTGTAGTCAAACCATAAGAATATTAGTGGAGTGACTCCCGGGGGGCGGTGCGCGCACAGCCCGTCTCTTTGCGATAAACGTGAGTGCGCGTCCGTTATCATCCAAACCAGCCAACGAGCCAGCACTCCTCCAACCAAATCCTGCCGAGCCGAGCTGATCCGAGCGGAGCATTTGGCCGCGTCGCCCCGCACAGACAGAGGCAGCGGAGGGGAAGATGAGCGGGTAGAGCCGCCGTCCTCCGTCCCTTACTGAGCCACATTCGCGCTAAAATCTCCCGCAGACACGATGGTCTCCATCAGGACCGAGGATTTCTCCTTCCAGCTGATCCTTCTCAGCATTATAGGTAAGAGAGACATTATTGAATGTAAGGCTGACATGTGATGACATTTTGGAAGCTGTCATTGATTCAGTCTGTTTTATTCCTGTTTCACAATCAGCGCCAAGGATGAATTTTATATGGATGGCATTTTTTAAGAACATGCGTACCCGTTCCTTCAGTATTCTTCCTTTCGCTCAGTATTCCTTTCTCAGATTCTGTGTCAGTGAATCATCTGCAATACAGGCAGATATTTGTCTTGTCATGCTTTAAACATGTTGAGACATTTTTTCTTAACATGTTTTAAGTATGAAATGTTGTGCAGTGTTCTGCTCCCACAGCCTCTGATGAACTTATTAAGTGTTCAGTCCAAATGTTGCATTCAGGGACAGATGCACGTTTCATTCAGCAACCTGACCTGGATTTAAACAATCCATATGTTTTTTGCACATTCACAATGTAACTGTGTCAGCCTGATTTATGAGACCATATTTATTATTCAAAGTGAGTATTCTTCACATTTGGATGCTTAGCTTTTGGATGCTGGGAAGTCCACTGTAGCCTCAGTACAGCCTAATGCAAACTTTTCAGCAATCATCTATTTACATTTTTCAACTTTTTTTAACGTTTAGAAAGCAAACAATGGTCTGTTAAAACCAGATCACAGAAATGATTTAGAGCAGCTGTCTAAGAACAGATCCTCTTTGTAAAAGGAATCTGAGAGTAGACGTGGTGCTGATTTCAGTAACAGGTGCGGATGTGAGAAACACAAGAGTGAGACAGTTTTGGATAAAGCGCTGGACACATTCATTTTTGCAAATGTAAAAAACATTGAAAGTGGGACCTATTGTTAAAGCTTACTTAATAGATCTGCAGAGATGATTGTTTGACTCTTTGCACATCCATCAATAAATTGCAGCCGAGACACAAGTTCTGTTATAGTTGGTTTCTCAATTACACACCCTGAAGTAGACTTTAAAATGTCCCACTCAGTATTGTATCTTGGTCATAATTCTTTAAGGAACACAAGAGTTATGTTCATCCCTAATTTGTGTTTATTTTATTAAGAATATCAGCTGACGTATTGTTATTGGATTTTATAAACTCTTTAATATTTATATTGGTACTGAAACATAGTAGTGCCATCTGCTGTTCTACGCAGAGTTTATTCAAGCTCAAGGACAAAGCCTATTTTTACTTAAAATAATGTTTTGGTTGACCTTAGAGATATCCAAAACATTTCTTTTTAAAAAAAAAATATTCCTAACAAGGTTCATGTTTTCATAGCATCATTTTCCAAATGTTTTCCTGTTCCCGTTTGATGAGATTTTGTGTGATCAGATTATCTCAGATGAGCCCATAAGAAGTTCTTTATTTTATATAACTTGGTGCAGAAATAGACCAACGGTACAACTGGCTGGGTTCATTTTCTGCTAGGCTTTTAAAAGGCTTCTTCTTTCCAGACATCTTAATGCTCTTCTGAGAAATGCCTTTGCTCTGCAGTCAAAGTTGACTATACTCTGAAGTTGCAGCAGTGAAGCTTGTTGATTCCATTTTCTGTGACTACAAGTTTAGACATTTTCCTTCCTTTTAAATATTTTATGTGAAACATGCTGTTTAGATAGAAACATATTTTCCTCCAGCCATCTGTCCTACAATATGTCTGGACACCATTCAAAATCACACAACATGTTCTCTTGCTCAGCCTTTTGCTCACACACATATATACAATGGATGTTGTGCGTGCTCTCGGTTTAGCCCTGTTTGTCCGAGCAGTTCTGCCAGTGACAACACTCTTGTCCTTGAGTCCTTCACTGTGCCATATGCTTTTCAACAGCATGGCTGCCACTACATAGTATCATCCATCTGACTTCTCAGTGGTTACACACCTTCGGCATGGGGTATCCATATGTGCTGGTCAGCAGGAGAGGGATCCTAGAATTAGTCCTGTTTTGATCCACTATTTTGACATTGAATATATGTAGGTATAAGTGGAACCACCAATATCTTTAAGCTCTTTGTATTCTGTGATCCTTTCATTAGAGATTTCAAACTAATCTAATTGAGCTCAGCGTGATGGCTGTGCTTGTTTTATTCAGCATCTGACCCCTTTTACCCATTACCACTTGCATTTTGTATTTATGTATTGGAAGTGTTGGCAGATGCACATTGATTGTTGGTGGATGGTAATTGGTTCGATTAAATGACACAGCAACAGCAGCCTGCAAGCTATTGATCCTTCAACAGCTCAACAGGATCTATACTGGATTTAGGCACAACTCTTGGTATGTGTACTTCACTTAACAAAAAAAGAAGAAAGATTACATCATTTGTATAGCCTTGACTCAATTCGGGCATATGCCATATTGGAACAGACATGGCACCTAGTAGTCATCCAGTGATAAAAATCCCACCATCAAATAGTGTAATAAATAACGCCATGTATTTAGACAACATAGCACCATGCCTCTTGATTATAGTGTGATGTTAATGTGAGTGCAGTGATCATATGTTCTCCTTGTGAGATACCATCTGGCAACCCAGTGCACTCGGAGCATTTCAACCAGAGGGGTTGCATCCGGTGGCTTAATAGGATGCCTGACAGCAATTTCATACAGCATACTGGCACACACAGCACACTGAATGTGTAAATCCATAAATAATATGTAGAGCGCAGTGATGATAGAGAGTGAGAAACATAGTCAATTAAAGTATGATATCGCATTTTTCAGAAGAGTTGCAGTAAACGATTTGACCTTTAAACTAATAAGCTAACTTACTTACTAACTATCTTACTGCTAAACATACAACAGTGTTTGTAAGGCAAACCAGTGCTGACCCTGAACCCCACCTGAAACGTTACTGTTTAAATTAATTTGGGTCCTGTATTATAGACAATTTTGCATTAAAGACAATTATTTCAATGTGACAAAAGATTTTAAAATCCCTAAATATGACACGTATGTTTCCTTAAATGGAGACATTCGTTCCAACAGAGACACATTGGTTCCAACACCACATCTTCATCCTGAAGTGTAGTATTGTATTATTATATTTATTATATGTATTATCAACTCCTCTTTCTCTAACTGTATATAGCATGTGAGTTAGAGTAGTGTGTCTGACCCCTTCTAGCCTTGGCTCCATGCTTTAAATGAGATTATGTGTGCGTTAACTTACAAAAATGCACAAACACGCAAAACACACAGCCTGAGTCTGGCTCTGTAAACCAGCCAAATAAAAATCTCCTCTCAGGGAAATAAATCTCGTTAGAAAGATTTTCCAAAGCCTTCTTAACTATCTGGTTTGTAGTGGGAAAACATATAATCAGATTTTGTGTTCTTTTATTGGAAGATATCTTTTAGAGAAAAGTTTTCTTGTTAAATATTACACGCATTTACTTTCCTAAAACAGATGGTTTAAATCCTTAGAATGGAGCAAAATGTTCTATATGTACCCCTTTGAGTACCATCACAAATCTAATTTTGGGAGATTAGGGAAGCATGAGTGTATTTTGAGTGTACTGATGTGTGTCGCACTTTCAGTCACCAAAGTGTTGGCAATGCTAAAAACCACAGCTGTTACGTTGAATAATTGATCCCCTGCTTTCTCTGTGATATTTTGTCTTCCTGCCCTCTCTTTACTGGTTGTTCAGCCTCCCCATCTGAAACATTTTATGCACAAGTGCTCTTATTCTTTAATCCACTTAGCTGCAGTCTGCTCTTACTGTGGCAACGTGCAGTCACAGTTATTTTAAATCTGGCCTGTGCCATGAGGACAGCATAATCTCTTTGATGCTGGAGAGCTCAGTGAAACACTGAAGTCACTCAAAAGTTGTGTAACTAGTTACTGTGGTTGCTGTAATTGGCAGTGATTGTTAGAAGTACACATTCTCAATGGTGGAAGTTGAATATGGTGGAAATCTCTATGGGTTTAAAGAAGCCAAGACCCAACGGAGCATACACAAATGTTGGTCCAATATTAAATTAGGGAATTAACTGGACGGTCATCACTTTTTTAAACGGCATGGGGAGTCAGCTGTTGAATTGTACTTAATAATTTGGCAGTTTCAGTTGGACCCAGAAAAACGTTCCTTTCCCTTCTGTCATATATCACCTCATCACTTTATCCTGATTTTGAACTTAAAGGAATACTTGACTGCATATCTAGCTTTTCAATATGAAATACTTACTTCACCTTAGCCAGGGCTGCACGATTTATGTGCACATGCTCAAGCAATTCAATGAATTGGGAGTTTCCCATTAATTACCTACAGTGTAAATAGTTCACAATGACCTGAATATTTTATATATTATTGGGGGAATATTTGTGACACACCAAATATGGGGATCAACAGTGAAGAGTTTATTTGGCTATGTGTATCTATCGGAATCAGTTGTAACAGCAGCAGTCCTCTACGAAGGTGGATTCTATAGCTTTTCAGGGCTTCACAGGAAGTTAGTATTCAACACTAATGACAGTAAACTAATGAGTCTCAGTAAAGTTGTGTTGAATGAATGTGAAACAGGAGGACTGGTCAGGTCAGCTTTTTAACTATTCCGTGACTTGTTCTCCACCAAGTTTTTTGGTTTTCGTCAGGTACTGTACATTCACTACCACAAGCTCATTTTCAGACGTCTCTTTCTGGAAGGCATTAATAGTGATGCACTTGTTTGTATAAACAAAAGGTGACAGGATGCTGGCCACTCGCTGGCATGAATGTCGGATGTGTCTTGCAGAAGCTGACTCATTTGTGTTGGAAACAGTACTCTCCAAAGGCTGTTCAAGCAAATAGGTAGGAGTGAGCTGGCTACCTAGGTATTTAGTTTCTCCTGAAATAGTGAGTACCTTGGTAATGGTCATATTGACCTTCAAGTACTTCCCCTCCAAGGAGTGAGTCAGAATGCTGTGTTATATATTATGAGTGTCATGGAATTTGATTCAACGCTTAAGACTTGCAGAAGTAGCGAGGGATCATCAGCATGAGGTAGAAAAGGAGGATGACAGGATCGCAAAGGGACAAAAGG